CCCTCCTTTTCCAGTTGTACAGTTCAGTGAAAACAATCACATCTATGCTGCACTTCTTTCTCCAAAAATAAAATTAAAAAATCATAGACGATTATGAATCTAAAGTACTTTCTGTAGTAAGAGTCAATTAAGTTTTGCAGAAAGAGTCAGCTACTTCGTGATCCCCCAAAATTGAGATGGATTTTTTGGGCTCAACCACGTTAATGGAATGGTACGTCCTAACTGGTGGTAGCAAAATGGATAAAACAATGGGTTTAACTTTTACATTTGCAATGACTCAAATTGGGGGTTCCACAAGTTTGGGAAACTAGGAGTTCTCCCAAAAATGATCATCTTCAAGAAGCTATAGATAATATGGATATCCATATTATCTGCCAGTTAACCCATTTTCTATCCGTATTAAATATCAGTCAGGTTGGATATTTTATCCGTTTTTTGCATTATCAGTTTTTGACCCACACATATCCGACCCAACCCGACCGTTTGCCACCCCTAGTCCCAACTAAACAAAAGATAAGCAGTAAAATGCATGATAATAGTGGGCTCACAAGTTCATCATTCTACTCGAGAAATTTCTTGTTCCAATTTTTCCTGCACAGACAGAACCTAAGTTGTCTAGTACTAGCCATCTCTCAATTAGATAGCCGCACATTCCTAAATAAAGAGGAAGTTGTTTTATCAAAGGACCAAATGAAGTGTTCTCTTTGGAAAAAAACTAGCTCCTAGTTCTACTCTGAAGCTCATTTATTCCTTGTTGAAGTGTATGACCATCTCATCTAAAAACTTAAATTGTAAGAGAGATCACACTTTTATTTACTTAATTATGTCTTCAACACGCTCACTTACGTACGGGCTTGATTCTTTTTTATGAGCCTAAGCATGTGGACATTCTTTTTTATAGTTGGTGGCAGTAAGACTCGAACTCACGACTTCTTGTCTGCTCGTATACTATGTTGAAGTGTGTGACCATCTCTTCTAAAAGCTTAAACTGTTAGAGAGAGCATATGTTTATTTATATTATTATGTCTTCAACATTCCTTAAAGTTACAGTTGATGTTATGTACATGGTCAGTATTTTCAAAAGTAAAATGAGAATATCTTTTTAGTTCTCTGTTTGCAGAAGGCAGGATCGGAAACAGCCTCTTTACTTTCTCAAGGTAGGGGTAAGGTTGCGTATACACTACTCTCCCCAGACCCCACTTGTGGGATTACACTGGGTTTGTTGTTGTTGTTGTTTGCAGAAGGCAGGATGTTTGGAGTTTGAACATCTAAGATAAAATTAACAATTCTCCTGAACGTAATGTCACCTGTAAGCGACGTTTATTTTTCCCAATATCAATCTTAACCAACTTAATTAATCAGGGAAAATAGTTCAGAAGATAGGTGACACCACATCAACTGAGTACGCCTTTCAATTTACTATTGGGAAACATTGTACCCAACAACATTTTGCTTTGGTAGGGACCATCAGGAAAGAATGTTGATGTTTAGCTGGAAGGGAGAGCAGGAAGAGATAGATTTACTCATTCCAGATCAAGCTAAAAGCTATTCATACGCGGCCGAGATAGCAGCAAGCATTCATATATAAAATTGTTTTAGCCAGTTATTAGCCAAGCTTAGGGCTGAATTAAGTACCAGATCATATGCATCATATCCATCGCACTTGGACGCTATATCCAGCAAGATATCATCCGAACACTGCAAAGAACGCTTCAGAATTATATGTTTTAGCAAGGCACCACGCTCTGTGGTAGCAGGTGCATGCAATTTAACATGAAAGTCAAATCTCCCTGACCATAATAAAAACCAAACATTAGGATTAAGAATAAAGTATAGTGGTACTGAAGATAGAGGAAGACAGTTACTGTCACAAATAATAAAACTGATTTCCCCCTGAAAGATGATGGACTAACCAGAAGAGGTCAAGCCCTGTGGTAAATTAGTCAGAGACTGTGCGCAAGCAATAAATGCAATTGGGCCAATCCCACACGTGTTCCTCCGCTTTTCCTGTTTAACATACAGAAACAGCGTTATCAGTTAAAAGGCTCTGTGATGAATCACCCAAGAGTCCAAGACCTCAGAGAAGTTGCAAATAATATTGCAAACCTTGAACGCCCTTGGCTAAGGACACTTACCATAATCTTTTTTTTTTTTTTTGAAAATGGTAACAGATATTCATCAGCATTAAGGAAATGCTGACCACTCTATTTACATTTCAATTAAACAGAGTCTTGTTCATCTTACAAGAACTACTTATAATTCTTTACAGTGATCCTAGCAAATCAAGTAAAGATTCAGCATCCTCTACATAATTTTCTTTGCAACAGGAGTACAACAACAAAAATACAGTTTGACTTAATTCTATGTATAGGACTGCTGATATCTTTAAAACATCTTGCATTTCTCTCTGTTCACACAGTCCCCCATATGCAAGCAGGGCTAGATTTCCACCACTTCTTTGCCTTACATTACCTCCTACATTGTTCCAGCATTTCACCGTATTCTCCAAGCATGAAAGAGATTTCTTTTAATACCGGTAATGTGAGCTTACTCGCACCTCTACTATTCCACCGACTAGAAGAGTATGAAAATTTCTAGGTTTGTTTAAATTCATGAAAAAATAATATGGGAAGGCAGCAAAGTCGCACCTTAGTTAAAATAGGGAAGGCGCGTGAATTCCACTGTGTCAGAATCCTTAGGGGTCGTTTGGTAGAGTGTATAAGCATAGAGCAGAATAGAGTGTATTAGTAATGCTGGTATTAGTTATGCGGGTATTAGTTATGCATGCATTAGTTATGCTGAGATTATTTAATATCGACTGTTTGGTTTGGTGTATTAAAAATTACATCTTTCCTTGAGTCGAGGGTCTATCGGAAACAGCCTCTCTACCCTCAAGGCAAGGGTAAGGTATATGTACACACTACCCTCCATAGACCCCACTTATGAGATTATACTAGGTTTGTTATTGTTATACAGTTTGTGCAATTGCTGATCCAAGACGGTGTGTCCATGGAGCAATTGGCCTCACAAGAGAGGAAGAGGAAGATTCTCGCGATTGTAGAGAAATGTACTTTACTTTCTAAAAAAAGAATTGCTTTTTAGCTTTTTATTTATTTATTAAATATGATATTTTAATAGAAGGGATGATTAATTGAAAGAATTTAATATTAGAAAACGGGGTGGAAAAAAATTAGAAAAAGCAAATTTGCCAACCTGTATCTTATTTACATTAATAAAAAATAGGTAGAATGAATTTTAATCAAGCATAAAATTTGAAGGGGCAATTTTGTCGTTAACTAAGCTTATGCATGCATTAATAACCTTGGTATTGCTAATACCATGGTTTGCTATGTATTAGCTATACATAGGATAAAATCAAATAGGGTGTGTAACTAATGCTTGTATTAGTTGTACATAGGTTGAAAAAGTGTACCAAACAAGGTATTACTAATACACAAAGCTAATGCATGCACTATTTTTTTCTAATGCACTCTACCACACGACCTCTTAATGTTCTCATCAGTTGTGTTATTTCTACCTCATTCAGAAGCAAATAACCTTCCGTCATTTTATGGGAAAGAGAAACTGAGTTAGCGCAGATCCTAAGACGAGAACAGAAATCAAGCTGGCCATGGAGGTTCCAATATACAGCTCGTTTAGACTCAAACACCATTGAACACAAATCAAGCCTTGGATAAATATTAAAGTAGCTCCTTTAAAGCTCTAACGGCAAGTCTCACCTCATATTCATCAATAATATCAGCAAAGTTTTCTGCAAGCACTGCTGATGAGGAAGAAGGTTGAGAAGCATCAGACTCAGAGGAGGCTGCAATAATGCTATCAAGATCATCAAATACCACAACAGAAGGTGCATGATCCAACGCATCAGCAACATAGCTAAGCAAAGTTTGATGAATGGTTGAAGGCTTTTCCAAAGCAAGCTTAGAACAAGATAAAAAAATTCTGCAGAAAGAAACAAGAGTCAGATTACATCCCTTGGTACAGAATCACGAATGTTCAAGCTGAAGCTTCAAAATGGAGTTAAGATGATTTCCAACAGAAAACAAAGGTTTGGTGGGATTGGCCAAACAAATCCTTACATATGGGCCAAGATGTCCTCACTTTCTTCAGCGAATTTAGCAGCTACTGTAGCTAATAGTGTTTTCCCGGAACCCTAAAAACAGAAGAAATGTTCAAATTGGGGTTCATTCAACAGTTTGCAATAATATTGTATGATTCACATTAGTCAAGGTCAAAATCATACTAAATCAACTAACCTAGATAAATAATAGAGATAGAGACATAGAGTTACACTTATCAACTTACGTCCCACATATTACACAGATTGGATTTCTACACAATCATTCTGTTTAGATCCATAAATTCCAGGACACATCCTAAAAGATACCAACAACAACAACAACCCAGTATAATCCCACTAGTGGGGTCTGGGGAGGGTAGTGTGTACGCAGACCTTACCCCTACCCTGGGGTAGAGAGGCTGTTTCCGATAGACCCTCGGCTCCCTCCCTCCAAGAACTCCCCACCTTGCTCTTGGGGTACTCGAACTCACAACCTCTTGGTTGGAAGTGGAGGGTGCTCACCACTAGAGGATACCATTACTATTAAAGGTAGCTCAGCACCTTGTGACTGTATGCTTCCTTACCGCACATCCTTTTTCATAACTTTTGTAGACAGTGTGCATCAGCAAGGATGATATACAAACGATTATACCTCAATGAACAGTTGCAAACTACCTTTACAGGACAAAAGATGCCATTAATAACTTTTGCATTTTGATACTTGGGCTCATCCTTTAAGATTGAAAGGCCAAACAAGGAGTTAAAAGCCTAATTAACAACCGTATTCATGCCAAAAAACAACTAAATCCAAATTGGATGAATAGACCAAGCTCTCAAGTAGATTAAAACCCTTTGATAAATCAAATCAGAAGAGACGCAAATCATTATACCAACAGTTTCTTCCCTTCTTTCAGTAAGGCTCGTAAAGTCTTCTACAACATATAAACTTGTTTGTCTCTGAATAAATGAACCAAGTGTCTATATCTAAAACCAAAATTGATTTACTATCACCATGGTTTCCTCGAAACTGAGTCTCAAAATTATAGCATTTTGTTTCTGGGAAGTAATAAGAATTTTATTCATCAACTTGGAACGCACTGAGCAAAGAGCGTTGTTACAAAAAGATATATGTAGTTTCTTCTATGAAGAGTGTGAACAGCAACAACAACATACCCAATATAATCCCACATCGTGGAGTCTGGAAAGGGTAGTGCGTACGCAAACCTTACCCCTACCTTGTGGAGAAGAGAGGTTGTTTCCAATAGACTCTCAGCTCAGGAAAGCATAAGTACCATATTAATAAAAAGAAAAACAAGAAGGGACAACACCAAAAAGCCATGTAAAAACAGCATTAATAACAACAAGATGACCCAAAATGAAAGAAGGGACGGGTAGTCATAGAAACCTAATACCAACAGAATGCGAGAGTACGTACTAATACTACCGGTATGAACAATCTAGACTACCTAACCTACTACCCTAATCCTCGACCTCCACACCTTCCTATAAGGGTCATGTCCTCGGTCAGCTATAGTTGCGTCATGTCTTGCTTAATCACCTCACCCCAATTCTTCTTCGGCCTACCTCTACCTCCCCTTAGGCCCTCCAATGTCAACCTCTTGCACCTCCTTATCGGGGCATCTGTGCTTCTCCTCCTCACATGTCCAAATCATCTAAGCATCGCTTCCCGCATCTTGTCCTCAATAGGGACCACACCCACCTTGCCCCAAATAATTTCATTCCTAATCCTATCTAACATGGTGTGCCTGCACATCCATCTCAACATTCTCATCTCTACTACCTTCATCTTCTAGACATGAGAGCTCTTGACTGGCCAACACTCAACCCCATACAACATAGTCGATTTGACCACCACTCTGTAGAACTTACATTTAGGTTTTGGCGGCACCTTCTTGTCACACAAAACACCGGAGTGTATCTATGTTGTATACATGTGTTGCAACTTCTTCGTGCTCAAAACACCAGTGATTTTTCCATTCCAAATCACCTGTAAAATACAAGGTGGAATTTCTCAGTTGTATGGCTTTATGTTGTCTTTTCCCAATCCTTTTCATCCAGCATATAATAGCTTCCTTTAAGCTGCTTTGCATCACTATTTTACATTGAAAACACCAAGGAACATCTGCCATCTCTGAGATGCTATGGTCCAACTCTTGCATCTTTCCATCTCATGGAGCCAGATATCAGATATGAGTGTTTAGACTCATTCAGCTTCCTCAAGAGAGTGGAAGCCATTCAAGTTCCTTCCATCCTAAGATTCTAGCCTTTTGTGGTTGGTAATTTTTCTTCCTTTGGTTTTTCTTTTTTTTCTGGCTTCTTCCTAAATCTATAAGTTCTCGTCAAAGAAATATAAGAAGACATAAGCATGAATTGTCCTCTGAAATAAGCCAACTCTACTCATATAGCACCAAGATACTTGCACGGTCCCTGCATTGTGGGCTACTTTATATCTAGTAGGCTTCGCATATCTAATGGTCCAAAAATTGCAGGGACCAAGTTAATCCGGGACCATTGGAAGAACGCTCTAGACAATCAAAGCAAGTCAAACAATATGGGAAGTAAGTACAGCTCGTTCTTCTTCCTTTTCACTAGGTTAGTCTTTTTATTATGATGACCTTTCAGTTCTTTTCTTTTCCATTTGACTTGGAAAGCATGAAAGGAGAGACAAATTGCTTAATATTTCCTACACTATTCCATCTCTCAAGGAATCAAACATTACACCAGCAGAGAGAGGGGAAAACACAAAACGAAAAGGACACACCATAAAGGTAGCTTGTAAATCATCCAGTCACTTTCAAGCTTCTCCAGAGATTTCAACATCCAAATATTCAGCACATACACACAAAAAGGAACTGGAAAAGGGGAACTCACGGAAGGCCCATGGATTAGAATATGTCCTGGCAGCGGAAAATCATAAGCACTGGACAACATCCAAGACGCTGAAGATAACAGAACTAACAACCCTGCAAGTGATGATAGCATTCAGCCAAAGGGAAAAAAATAGTATGTAACTGGGGAAAAAATGAATATGCAAGTGATGAATTTTTTTTTTAATCAGTTAAATACTATTTTTTTCCCTTGGAAATTTTCCTCTTTTCCAAGGGGGGAAAAATAGTACTTAACTGATTACAAAAAAAATTCACCAGTCACAATATTAGCTTGGCAGACAACAAGAAATAAATGCATGCACAACTCTTTGACATACTGCAGACTTACATAACACAAACATGGTTCACAATCTTTTCACTTAAAGCTGAAACCTTTCAAGATCTTCACTGATGTCAAATTGTCAATGGATTTGATAACTTAGCACTGGCAGTTCAAATTGCAGAAAGTATTACTCCATCTCTTTACCCACCCACCGCATCTTGGTTATTATTATGTGGATTTATTTCTCCATCAACTAATAAGAATGGGATTTTGAAAACTGAGATTGCTAAAAGCCTAAAAGTATCAGAAAACAAAGAAGTACCATAAACTGCACTTTGCATTCTTGTATTCCTCCAGCATTTGGCACTTCATGCTCTCCCATTTGGAAAATTTTGCAGCTTAAATACTTATTCCAGTACTCAACGACCCAAACCATCTTTTATCATACATAGTACGTGACAGCCATCTGCTAATGTGGAAATAGTTAGAAAGCTCTCTACCTCTCCATCTCACATGAAAGCAACTTTATCACCAAAGTCCCAACGCCTGGACAGAAGAAAGTGTCTTTCACCACCCCAAAATTTCTTTTTCCAGGTCAACTAGTGGTATACACTGCTTCCCTTTCTTCATATGCCTACCTCTTTCCTTTCCAAATTATTCACGTCATCAATCCCTTCAATACTCTATTTATCCCTTCCTTTTTCCCTTTGTGTGCTGTTCCTTACTCTTACACAAACATACTCTGGCTTATCAAGCCCTACTTACCTATAATAGAAACTTTTTTTCAATATGTACTAAGGCGATTCGGCATGTTGCATTTCGGAAATAAGCATAACTTTCTCATACAATTTTACTAAAAAGTTACTGTTGGAATATATCTTCATTTACACAGTAAAAGACAAATAGATGTCCTTAAAGAAGGGTAGAAAATTTGCAATTATACAGCTCCTATAAATCTCAATGCATTTAGAGTTCCATTCAGACATTTAGATGATTTAACACTAATCAAACGAGGAAATACCTACTATTGATCACATCAGATGCAGCCATTCCCATCCAGTCTAATGAAGAAATTGTAAGACTGGTGCTTTTAGCAAAGCATTTCTCCCTGACAGTCCTAATGGAGAGACCATTGCCCAGTTGAAGCTTTCCAAGCCAAGGTTCTAAGCTTTCGGGAGTAGTAGTTAACTTGCTTCCTTCATCAAATGCAACTTCATATGCATCAATCTTTTCATCACGTATTGATTCATCAGAAATTGACAACACATACACGACATCTAGTGCTGCTTCTCCACCATTCATTGTTTGGACACCATGTTTTATGGATCTGTCATCTTTCACTTTGAAGTGAAGCAAAGTTGTGTTTCCTAAAATCAATGATTTAACTTCCACTCCAGCCTTCAGCGTGACAGCATGTAGTTGTGCAAGACACCATCTGCGCAAAAGAGCTGCAATGCCCTTTTTGATATCAGACTTGACGCTCGTTTCTTTGTCTTCCTTGCTAGATTCAGAAGAAAAGGCTGTGGCAATTTTCTCATGGGTTGACCAGTCAATAGTACCCATCTCAATGTCTGAATTGGTTCTGAGAAGTGTTGTTATTATTTTATTATTCTTTTTGTTACCCAAAACTTCAGCATTATTTTCTTCAGAAACCCCATTCTCTGGGAGTATCTTGAATTCACAAGGTGAAAGCGAAACTAAAGGAATCTCTTTCTTCAATTTGACATTGAATCTCTTCACATAAACACCTGGAAACAAAGTAATTTTTCAGAGCTACAGTAAGAAAACAAAGGTGAAATAATTGCAACCAAACCAATTTATTCTTGATAGAATCCTGGACATGATAGGAGAAACATTTTAGTCAGGTAACATGTCCAATTCTTTTGAGGTTCTTCCGTTGCTTTTCTGACAGGAGGGGTTTTTAAGGAGTGGCTATTAGCAAGTTGGACAATTATCAATCAATGAACCAATGGAAAATATGAATGTGATGTTCCCTATTTTTCTGTTTCCAATGGAAGTTGGATCATACTTTTTTTAATTGCTATGGAAGTTGGATCATACTTAGGTATGGGTGACAAACCAGAAAAAATCTTGCAAACAATAGAATAGTTCAAATGGTATATGAAAAACAAATTAATAAGAAATGATAATATAAGTAACTTGCTTCCTAAAATACCAACAAGTCTGAGCCGAATAATGAGTAATAAATTGAACTGTTAGATAACACCAGCTTCTCTTGCAATTGGTGCATCAATTTAGTTCTGCAAAGAAAAACCTACATGAGTGTAACTCCGCTCTCAAATAAAGCCGAAGAGACTGAGGAAGCATTATATGTCCTTTCGCCACTGATTCTGAAAATATTAGATGAACCATTGCTTGATGGATATCGTGCTTGTCACGTGCACCCCCTACTTTCACTTCCTTTGAAGTTGCACTATTTTTCAATCTACGGCTATCTGTCTCCTGATTCTTCTTGGTCTCTTTGGGAAGCAATCTGGGAATTATTACCACAGTCTGAAGAGGTTCAAAAGAGTATATACTGGCTGTCTCTGGATGAATGAAGATAGCAGAGGTCAAAACCACTCTCATCTCAACTCCATCAGCCTCGTATTTATGAATACATTGATCACCAGTATCTTGGACTCTCAATAGTGCCTTTGAGACCGAAATCTTATCATCTTGCATCATGGAATCCTCACCTGAACTAATATTTCTTTTTCGCCTTTTTGGAGCAACAGCAACTTCAGTTCCTGGTACAAGTTGTACTGAAAACAACCGGGCAAGTCAGCTTTTCATGATTATGAAGTTCTCAAAAACCATATTAAGCATGTGAAAAGAACATTATATATGTCCTACTATTGTTGTGATCTCATTTGACACAAACCTGAGTTTTTATTTTTTTTTTAAACAAACCTGACGCTAAAAGGGAGAGGGGCTAAAGGTAAAAACTCTAGCAAGCATACTGCAAATATGCAACATATATCAAATTGTTATATATCATTATCTTCTTTCCCTCCTTGTAGAAGGATTGATATTTGATTAAATGAGCAAATAGAAGCCTTGATATAAAACAAATGGTACTTGATTAAATGAAAATAAGAAGCCTTAATCCATAGTGCCTCAGGGCTTTGGTCTAGTGGTGAGAGAGCAACTTGTGATGTATGAGTTAGGTGCATGTCACGTGTTCAAACCCTACTATAGACAAAAACCTAGTAGAGGGGCAAGCACATTATCCACCGAGTTTTGAAATGTGCTCCACTAGCCTTGAGGATTTATCGGTTATTTTTAGAAGAAAAAAAAATGCCTTAATCCATGGTATTAGTAAATGAAAGGCCCCGGTAACAGATACCAGCAATTATCTTCTCTTTCTAGTATGTAATACAAAGATACAGGCAACATTGTCAGAGAATACATGATTGAAAGTAGTCATTAAGCTCCAAAACATGCATCTTCCTCAGAAACTTTATATTCCAGTAATGGGGAAGCTTTCAAGTTTAGCAACCAAGTTCTTATCAAAAAATAGAGCATGATAGGCAATAAATCACATACATCAACCAAGGAATTAACATCCTCTTACCTACCGGTGTCAGCGGAAAGATTGAAAAAACTTTGAATGTGATAATTGTTTGCCCATGCAGCCACAAAGGAAATCGCATTGCGTCATGGACAATACCAACCTGCATAAAATACACAATGGTTGAGTATTGGTCAACTTCAAGAAAACATTATCATTCCCAAGGCTTCGAGTTAAATATTGTGTTTGACTTTACACTGTTCTTGAAAGAAAATTATAGACAGAATAGTATACTAACTTGAACATGGATTACCTTCCAAGAAGTGGGTTTATAGGCCAGGTGATAGATTATCTTTTCTGATTTAACTAGGGGAGTGAACTGAAAGTACGGAACCAGGAAAAACTTTAGAATGGGTATAATAGGTGGTAATATGGTCTAAATGATCAAACTGGATACAAATTTGGCACGACCCAGATGAGAAATGTGGAATTTAGGGTGAAACGCAAAGAGTATGTTATGACACAAGTTCAGTAGGTCTTTTGATATGTTTACAAAATTAAAACGAGTATCTTCCCCCTTTTTCTCCGGGAATGGGATTAATCTTGTTGCTTTTTAAATAACTGTGCAGCTCTGGCCAACTTGCTCACCTCAACTACTCCAGGTAGTAACTACAACTCCAATCAACACAAGTACTACGTTTGTGTTAACAAACAGTCAATTCTAGAGGGTAAGAAGGATCTGAAACAATCTCAAGCATTCCCTCCTACAAGTAACATTAAAGATGCTCATGCTTATTCTAAATAAAACTTTTAGTACTTTCTAGCTGGACTTTGAGCAATAAACCAAAACCCAAGAGCAAAGAGAAAGGATGACAGACAGCAACCAAGGTATGATTCTTTTTTCGCAGGTAACACAGGGTTGAGCTAAGAATCACATCATCAAAACAGGTCGATCTTTCATAAATTTGTTTTAAGCTAGTTAGAAATGAAAGGCATAATTTGCCTAATGCTAACCAAAACCCATAAGCGTCTCTTATCCTTTGCCCATTTCTAAGAGAAATGCCCATAGTTCACAGCATTAATTCAATTGAATCCTTCTTAAAAACTGTATGAATCGAGGTTTATTATTGTATCAGCCAAAAACAAATACGTAAATCTGCCACCCTAAAGCAAGAAAGCAGCGGAGCAACATGGAGAAAGTATACAAATTAACATATCACTGTGCAGCTACACCTCTCCGCCTGCCCCAACAACAAATCCCATTAGTGGTGGTTATGCCCTCTGTAATTGTCATTTCTTTTTTAACTTTTATTTAGGGGAACAAGCAGTTTGCTAGAAAACAACCTGGCTTAAACACTAATGTCATTTGTCTTATGCATCGCATCATTATGAAATTTTAATATCACGATTAAGGTGATCGATAAGGTTCACAAAAAAGATCATATCCTGGTAGTTTCTTATCCATCCCATTTAAAGTTTAACCTTTTATAAGCAAAAGCTACAGGAAAACCTGTAAATACTAAAACATATGATACACAAGAACGAGGAAGAACTTTTCTTTGCTAAAAACCACTAGGTGATTTCTTCCATCTGCCCAAGACTTGGTAGACAAAGTATCCGGTCTACCAAAGAATTAGTCAAGGTACGCACAAGCTGGCCCGGGCACCACGGTTATTAAAAAAAACCAACGAGGAAAAACTGTATACAAGTGAAACAACACATTCTCAATCAATAACACATAGTAATTATAAGCACCTGCTTTAAAATAGCCTGCTCGGCATGCTCAGCATTAAGTTCCAAAACTTCCCAATCATCTTCAGTATCCGGCTCTATGGTAACCATAGTAGCTTTAGACAAATTAGATAGTGCTATTACTCGAACCACCGTACGATCCGACAATCCAATACACTCGGCATATTGCTTTGCAATCTTCATCCACACAACAAACAACATAAATTACACAAAACTAAAAGAAAAATTGAACATTTTCAGTTAGGAGTTAAATTCGTTAGGAAAAATTGAGAAGTTGAGGTGTGTGAACCTGAATAGAATTAGGAAAGGGATGGGAAGAAGCGGCACCGGACCAAGCTACACGCCAGAGTTGGTTAGCGTTTTGAGGAGAGCGAAGTTCGAGGGCTAGAATGGGAGGAAGGTAGCCGGAAGCGGTGGTGGACTCGAGAGTCTGAATTAAGCTCACTGGTAACGATACGAAACAGGTCTCGATTCCTCCGACGACTCTCACCTCCAACTCCATCTTTTTGCGAGTGCGATATCTGATGTTTGGAATGTGAGAAGAATGGTTTTTAGGATGAGGTAGAGCAAAGACTGATTGCTGACTAAAATATTGCTTTTCCCGAGGTGTACTATCATTGATGATAGTTGTTAGACCCGACCCCAATAAAATGTGATGGGGAAGCGGGTTCACTTTTTCTTTTTTTTAAATGACCGGTAAAGATCACAAGATTGGATTATTATTATATATATATATATATATATATATATATATATCTTGAAAGTTTAGCGTTGTTTGCTTATAAGTACTATACTATTCAGAATTTATGGTAGTATATTTTAAACTCACATCGAAACATCATCTACACATTTAAATTTTGCGAATGACCCTAACTTTTAAGTGTATCTCACACAACTGGCATTAATTATGTGAGGCCTTTTATCTCATAAATTTGTGAACTTATATTAGGATTGTATGAGGGAAGAGTATTACCTGAATCGGTACCGATACAATACCGCATTGTACCGGTACAAATTGGGGATAGGGTAAGGGCACTGGGAGGGTACCGATATAATTGGTCGGTTCGGTACCTAAAATTGGTCGGCTTGGTACCCTTTAGGTACCGAATCGATACCCTTAAGGTTTTTTTTTTAAATGAAGTTATTTTTGTATTGTTAGCCATCGATTATTTTTTAAAAAATAGCTATTGGCAATGGCCTAAAACGGCTATTTTTGCCTCCCAAACCCCCTAACAACCCCCTACCCCCTAAATTTATATTTTCTAATCTCTAAGTTGTTCAAATACACTTTGGCCCTGTTTTAGAACTATAAATATTTCATTTCATTCTTTCAATTTTTAAACAAAACTCTCATATCTCTCTAATTATCTATCTCTCTCTATCTCTAATTGTAATTAATGTTCTAGCACTATTATTAAGTTTCGCATTTATTTTTGTTATACTTGTGTTGCTATTTATTGTAAATTTAATTATTTATTATTAAAAATAGCTCCTAAACTGGTAAAAAAGTATGTAATAAATTGATTAAGGATAATGCTAAGAAGGGGGGCCTCATTTTGAAACAAATCCTAACTATTCTGGGTTTAGGCGTTACACACGAGCAACGTATAATCCTGCTTTTTAAGCTTTTCCTAGAACAACTATTAGAACTAATATTTGCAATGATGAAGGAAATGAATACTTGCTGAAATATTGGACGAGAAGAAATTCTGACCTTCTAGAAATAATTCTAGAAGACAACGATGTCTATAGTGAAATACTATCTACCGGAGACAGCGGGGACGCAAAAAAATAAGTGCTATCAATTTCAAGAGAAAAACCAATAAAAGCTATTGAAAAATTCCATAAATCGTTCAAAAAATATGTAATTTTATTTTTATAAGTATTAAAATAAAAATACTAAATTTGTTTCATCTATTAAAGTTTATTTGTATTTAAATATAATATTTTTAAAAATTTTAATCTAGAAATGCCCCTAAGTACTTGTACCGCCCCCTTAAGTATCCCCTCCTTAGGACTGGTAGGGGTACTAGTAAGGTACCTATAAAAGTACCCTTACCTCATACCCTTAAATTTCCTTAACAATAATCTTCTTAAGGTACCCCTCCCCCTACTAATGATACCCTCCCCGTACCCAGTCCTCTTAAGAGCCCAGTATCCTCCCCTTATATTTTTGGGTCCACAAAATTCTAAGTCCATAAAATTATGAGGAAAAAAAAGGTCTCACACAACTAGTGTCAGTTGTGTGAGGTACAAAATAAAAAAATTAGTGGTGCTAGTACTCGAGAGGAAAGAAATATGGGAGATGAATTGAGAAAAGAGCGAAAAAAGAAAAGAAAATTTAACAATATTATATAAAACATTAATTAAAGCCATAATATAAGATTAAAATAATAAACTAATATGTTTTTAACCCAAATTGGTCACAAATTACTAAAAGTAGTAAACTACAATGGCTATAGCTCAAAAAACTATAAAACTTGCCCTAAAAAGTGTTTTCCGTCTATTTATAGTGGCCCAAAATTCACTGACAAAAATGCCCTTCGATTTTAGCGGCCACACAATTCCAATGTGCGGTCTGCCGTTTACTTGGTTTTGCACGTTGGGGAATTCTGCAGCCGCACAATTTGGTTTGCGGCTGTACTTCAGCTTCTACGACCGCACTTTTCCTTCTGCGGCTGCACTTTTGGCAAGGCTTCATTATTGGTCATTTTGCACACTCTCTGAACTTTTTGAATTCCTGTCAGTACGATCATATTTTACGGCCGCACAATTTGTGTGCGGTCCGCATTTTGTTTCAATCATCATCTGAGTTTCAACCCCACATTTGCGGTTGCAGAGAGAATTTTATGGTTCATGCTTTCTTCTGCGGGTGCAGAATTACTTCTGCGGACCGCACTTTTGGCCTGTTGCGCTCCTTCTTTCCTTATGAGCAGGAACGCTCCTTTTTGAGTTAGATTTCTTCATTGAAGTCAAATTCTCCAACATTACTACAATTTGCACAATTTTATTAGTTTTGGGGACAGAAATTAACACTTTCGGACTAAAACTAAAGCAAGAGGGTACTAATAAGTAGTTAAAATTCACACTTATCAACTTTCCCAAATTTAAGTCTTTACTTGTCCTCAAGCAAATAGATTAGTTCCCACATCCTCAAAGTGAAAGGTCATTTCAGAGAGTCAATGCTAAGTTATTCATACTCACTTGTGACCAACAATTATCCTAATACTCATGCATTTTCAACAAGGTGACAAATCACATATTATGCACATATAGTTCTAATGTGACACTTGAGCAACACGAATTGACTTTCCTCATCAAGGACTCTTGTTCTATCATTTAGATCACGGTGGACTTCAAACTCTTCCTCCTTTACCTTTTATTTGCCTGCTCACTTCAAGAGTTAGCACTCAATTTTTAGATCAATGAAAGGTTCACTCTTCTCTCACAAAAGAATGTCACAAGTAAGACTTCAAGTACCATATGCTTGCCCTTCATGTAGATCACCACTAATGTATGCTTACTCGGTTCAAAATCAAGTAGGACTTCTTTCGGGTTATAATGAAGGCTTTTGGATTGGGGTAGGCTACCATATGGGTAAGTGGTTACACTCTTCCGTAAGCACTCCATATTTTTATTTCTTGGCTCACATTTACCAACTATTAGAAGCATTTTCTTTTTCTTGGGGGCTAGAGAAAATTGACATCACTCTTTCTTGTTCAATTCTTTTCTTTTCTCCCTTGATGCTCATACCAGATATAGTTGCATCTTTTTTATTTCATCAACCCTCATTTTTATTCTCTTTTTGGCATTTTCTTTTTGTTCTTTTTCTTTTCTTGCGTTCTCTTTTTATAAAAATTATTTCTTTCCTCCTTTGGGTGCCTTGATACCTCTTTCAAATTTCCTCACCCCCCCTCCCCTGCAAACTTATGCCTTACGCCATTTATTTCATAAGAGTTTTAAGGAAGGTGCGGGTGTCAAGAGAGGATTAGGACAAAACGGGTAAAGGCTTATAGTATAGTTACCAAATGAGAAAGGCTAAAGGCTCAAAGGGGGTTAACTAGGGATAACAATATTGGTTGGCAATAAAAGCTCAAACGGACCAAGGAAAGCCTATAATCATCTCCCAAACCAAGGAAACTTAGGATTTCTCCATTCAGAAAAAGTTCTAGACTATTTGCACGGATACTTGGACTAGCAACGAAAAATCACCTAACCCCTCATGCAACTAGACTGTAAAAGAGGATAGAGTCGAGAGCCTATAACAACCACAATCAAGTTAAAGATTACTATGGTCCAATAAACCACTCAATGATTATCATAGTCAACTCAAGAGTCTCAAAGTCACTAATTAGAGCTATTTTCTTTCAAAAATCTTATTTCGAACCATAAGCATGTAGTTAAGTGTGTTGGTGCCAAATGAAGCATGAATGACTCTTTTTAGAGAATTACTTCATTAGTACTTTTCTTCATTAATATTACTATAATTATTACTTGAACACAAAAACAGACTCATTTTCCTTAAGAAGGTTGTCACATCATCCATCCCGGGAAGAGTCACCCGGTTCACACAAAACTACCTTTGGAAAGAATCGAGGCATTAAGAAAACCAAAGGCTTATTATCTATACTATTACAAAAAACATGAACGCTACTAACATAAAAAGAAGCTACTAACAAAACAAAAATCAAAGTAAGCAATTAAAGAAACTAATGAAAGCAATAACTAACTAAAGATAGATAACTAAAAATAAGAAAAGAAATAGAATTATCCAATTATTACAGTCCAAATGAATCCACATGTGCCAATCAAATAACCCCCCCCCCCTCTCCGAAATAAAAGTAAGCATTGTCTCCAATGCTTAACAAAATAAGAGTGAAAAGAGAGAGGGCGAAAAAACTCCCTAAGCATCCTTGGAAATCTTAGTGTCCCCAGCAACATCAACTCTCGTTGGCTCAAACAACTGTATCTCATCATCGTATATGGGAGTGTCGAGAGTATCAAACATCGCACGCACTGCGTCAGCAGTGCCGGCAGCAAGGCATGGCTCATCAGAATGGCCAGCTGGTACAACCGGTGCAGATGGATCTGGGGCAGACTGGTCTGGGTCAAGCAACATGTCAAATGGTAGATCACTAGCTGTCGCAAGTCGATTCACCTCCTTCCTAAGCTTATCAACTGACTTCTTGCTGGCCTGGTACTTTCTCAACTTCTTCACTTATTTGGTCAAGTCCTCAATAACTGACCCATGTTGTACCAGAATGTCCATGATCAGCTTTTGGTTTTACAGAATCTTTCGCAGCTTCTCATCAAGGTCGGTAAAAACCTGTGGTGCCTATATGGATGACTCCCCTGCAACAGTACTAGATATCCCAAACAACTTTGAAGTAGCTGTCTGCATCCAGTTATTAAGATTTTCCAATGTCTAAGAGACTCGCAGAGTAGATAGTGGGGTTGTAGGCATGGGCCCCGACCTCAGAACTGGAATAGGGGCTGCCTTGGGGGTTGTGGTAAGAGTTGTGGATGGAGTTGAGGATGGTGGCAGAGGCATATCAGCTGCACTAGAAGAGGGTTGAGTTGATGTAGATGGAATATTAGCTGGGTCAGAAACTATCATTGTCGGCTCATCAGACT